GTCTCTCTGATGTGTCTCTCTGACGTGTCTCTGATGTGTCTCTCTGATGTGTATGTGATGTCTCTCTGATGTGTCTATGATGTGTCTCTCTGTCGTGTCACTGACGTCTCTCTGATGTATCTCTCTGACGTGTCTCTGATGTGTCTCTCTGATGTGTATGTGATGTCTCTCTGATGTGTCTATGATGTATCTCTCTGACGTGTCTCTGACGTGTCTTTGATGTGTGTCTCTGATATGTGTCTCTCTGACGTGTCTCTGATGTGTCTCTCTGATGTGTCTCTGACGTCTCTCTGATGTGTCTCTCTGACATGTCTCTGATGTGTCTTTCTGACGTCTCTCTGATGTTTCTCTCTGACATGTCTCTGATGTCTCTCTGATGTGTCTCTCTGACATGTCTATGACGTGTCTCTGATGTGTCTCTCTGACTTGTCTCTGATGTGTCTCTCTGACGTGTCTCTGATGTATCTCTCTGATGTGTCTCTCTGACGTGTCTCTGATGTGTCTCTGATGTGTCTCTCTGACGTTTCTCTGATGTGTCTCTCTGACGTGTCTCTAATGTGTCTTTCCGACGTCTCTCTGATGTGTCTCTCTGACGTGTCTCGGATGTGTCTCTCTGATGTGTCTCTCTGACGTCTCTCTGATGTGTCTTTCTGACGTGTTTCCCTGATGTGTCTTTCTGACATGTCTCTGATGTGTCTTTCTGACGTGTCTCTGACGTGTCTCTGATGTGTCTCTCTGACCTCACTCTGACGTGTCTCTCTGACATGTCTCCAGTCAGTGGGGACAGATGTCTCAGGTCCTCGATTCACTCTGGAGTCAAACGATCAGATTATTGATGATGTCATTTGTCCTCTGATTGACTTACAGCTGAGAGCCAAGCCCCACCCACCTCAGACAGCGCTGGTTATGGACAGGACAGACAGCCAATGAGAGCAGAGCTTCACAGAGACGATATGTCACTTCCTGAACGGTGAGTATGACCTCAGACTGAAGACCTTTCTCAATATCAAGTTCGGACTTGCGCACCTGGGAGTTCCGACTTGACAAGTTCGACCACCAGAAGTACAAACGAGACCGCCTTCATCTAAACCATATAGGATCCCGTCTTCTGCCTCAGAACATTGACCTCACACTGCTAGCTGTCCAGTCCACAGCTCTTACCGATTGACTGTTTACACCACACTCCCCCTCCCCAGCCTCTTCCTCAGTGGTCACTGAAACAGTTCCTCCTAACACTCCCTCTAGTCCCCCCTGCAGGCCCATGACACCAATACAACTTTTTCCAGCCAACTCTGGTGTGAGGCTGTCATGTCTCAGGCCTGTTTTCCCAGAGTCCCAATGTCAGTTGAGACTTGTCTTCCCTTTAGCAAGACGTAGTCGGGCAGGGGCGGACCCATGGCACCTGCAGCCACTAGCACCTGCACCCACTACCACCTCAGCACAATCCAAGTCCATTGAAGGATAACTTCGGTATTTTTCAACCCCATGTGTATGTGTGCGTATGATTCATAGGTACAACTCGTTCTAAAATTGGTTCAGTATTGAGGGAGGCGGATGCAGCCGGGAGCCGTGAAACGAGCTAAAATGGTAATGGGGGCAAATGCGTCCTGTATAGGTTTGCGCATTAAAAGTGCTTTTTTTCGCCACTGACCGGTTCAGATCGCCAGTGCTATCTCTGTAAATAGCATACTAGCCTTTCCCTTACCTCTGGGCTGTGTGATGTCACGAGCTTTGCTCCACTGTGTCTGTAGCTCTCTCTACTCGTGGGACAGCCGTTTTCTTGAGGAAGAGGTGTTTCGGGATTGAATGTCTTCTCTTCTTCGGCTGGCAGTAGTCATCTTGGGAGAAGTGAGCACTGCAGACCCGATGGTCTGCAAGGCGCAGTGTCTGGAGAGGAGTGTTATAATCCATTTGTAGCACAACTAGCCACAACTTCAGCATCTCGCCGTCCGACAAAGGCAGCCTATGAAAGATGTACAGGGTGTTGCACGACATCCAGTTCTTGCGTTCGGGAAAAAGGCCCATTTATTTGAGCACTCCAAAAACTCCGGTAACACTCCAGGGGGTAGCACGTAAAAGACTCCGTCCTCTGACTCTTCTGGCGTAACACACACACTACACACATACACACATACTCACTTACAGTACCCAGCGGGGACGCCCTCCGCCTCTCTGCTCCAAAACTGACTGACAGCTGACTCCACTCATTCACACTCACCACTGCCCCAGGGTCGCTACAATATGCTATTTACAGAGATAGCCTCCTACCTCCTGGAGAGTGAGCTGTGGAACTTTTACCTCATTTGAACTCTTAGTGACTAAAGTTGGGCGTGCTAACCCATTTTATTGTGTTTTAATTTATCGCCCTCCTGGTGTTAATGGCTCTTTTTTATCCGAATTCAGTGACTTCTTAGCCTCCATAATTAAATTTGAGAAAATCCTCCTTCTTGGTGATTTTAAGGTGGCCGTAAATGACACCACAAACACCTTTGCAGTGAACTTTTTAAAAGTCACTGATTCTTTCAATTTTACCCAACATGTCAGCAGTCCAGCACACATTAAGGGCAACACTCTGGACTTGGTTTTCACGCATGGATTAAAATTAGACATTATCAGCTCTGAGGAGCTGCTTGTGACTGATCACGAATGCATTCTCTTTAATGTGTCTTTTAACACTGGTTATACACTCAGAAAGCGTGTTATGTGTTCACGTATGTTAAATGACCTGTCTGCCGAGAAATTCTCTTCTGTTTTTAACAACAGCATAGGCCAGCTTTTTGGTGAACAGAGTGATGCTAATTCTCTAGTTCACACTTTTAACTCACATTGCTCCGTTATTTTAGACGAGATTGCTCCTCTGAAATCCTGTACAGTCGCTACTGTTATTCTACCCCCTCGATTAATGATGACATTCATTGTTTTAAATGCAAATGTTGCCATATCGAGTGCCTGTGGAAGTCTACAAAGCTTCAGGTCCATCGTATTTATTTGAAAGAACTCTTAATGGAGTATAACTTAATGGTTAAAGCTGCTCGGGCCTCTTATTTTGCTGACCTCATTTCCTCTAATAAGTGAAATCCCAAAGTTATTTTTGACACTATAAATAATCTTGTTTGTTCCCAGCCCCCTGTGGTGCCCGTCTTCTCTGTTAGTGACTGTAACTATTTTCTGTCATTTTTTGTCAACAAAGTTGCTAGTGTTAGAGCAAGTATTACCCCCTCTTCTGCTCCTCTCCCTGCTCCTCCTTTACGGCAGCCAGTACTGGATCGTTTCTTGCCCGTCTCCCAACAAGATTTAACTAAGCTAGTGAGCAGTATGAAGATCTCCCCCAGCCCGTTAGACATCTTGCCCATGTCTGTGGGCCCACGTCTTGCCCATGTAATTGCTCACTGGTCTCTGGCTGCTTCCCCTCCTATTTTAAACAGGCGGTTGTCCAGCCGCTTCTTAAAAAGCCCAATCTGGACCCTTCATTATTTAGCAACTTTAGGCCAATTTCTAAATTGCTTTTTATTTCAAAGATTTTAGAAAAAGTCATTGCTAACCAACTAGTGCCTGCCCTAAATAAGCATTGTATTTATGACAAATTTCAGTCTGGTTACCGTCAGAAGCATTCCACTGAGACAGCACTTCTTAGAGTGTCTAATGACATCATGATGGCCTCTGACACTGGTAAATGTACCAACCTAGTGCTGCTTGACCTTAGCGCAGCCTTTGATACCGTGGATCACCACATCCTGTTAGACAGGCTCAGTAACTGTGTTGGCATTTCAGGCAGTGCCCTTGACTGGTTTGCCTCCTACCGCTCTGTTAGAAGTTTCTCTGTAGCATCTGGTCCTTTTATGTCCAAGTCCGTCCCCCTTTCTTGTGGGGTGCCTCAGGGCTCAGTGTTGGGTCCAATTTTTTTTGCTCTGTATATGCTTTCTCTTGGAAACATTATCAGCAGGTTTGAGGGTGTATCATGTCATATGTATGCAGATGATATTCAGCTGTATTTTTCTTTTAATCCTGACAGGACCAACCTGACCAATTAATGACTGGATGGTCAACAATTTCCTCCAGCTTAACGCTGCTAAGACCGAGGTCCTTATTGTCACTCCTGACTGTACTGCTTCTGAGGTGGCGAGCTGTATTGGGTCCCTGAATTCAAATATCCGCTCTAACCTGAGTTATTTTTGACCTTTGATAAACATATCCATGTGTTGACCGTGTGATGCGACAGGGTGCATGCTCGTGCAGCGACCGGCAGCAGGCTTAGGCTCAGTGTTAGTTGTTTGTCATAGTCTTGTGTGTTTTTCATTTATTGCCGTTCTTTTTCCCCTGTTTCCCTTGCTTTATTGTTCTTATCATCCTAGTGTTAGTCAGTCAGTCCACTATTTATGCATGAAAACTGGACAGTAGCTCAAGGACAGTCTAGCCGCGTTGACGCTCTCGGGGGCCTGGCTACGGCGAGGCTAGTTAGCATAGCTAACACAGCAGCTCCAGGGAGGCTAAACATCGCCTCTGCAAGCTCCAGGGCTAACCAGCGTCCCGGCTGCCTCGACCGGAGTGGGGACGCGCCGACGCCAGCTCCAGTGAGGCTTAACATCGCCTCTGCAAACTCCAGGGCTAACCAGCGTCCCGGCTGCCTCGACCGGAGTGGGGACGCGCCGACGCCAGCTCCAGTGAGGCTTAACATTGCATCTGCAAGCTCCAGGGCTAACCAGCATCCCAGCTGCCTCAGTCGGAGAGAGGACGTGCCGACGCCAAGCGGCTAGCAGCTCCAGGAAGGCTAAAAACATTGCATCTGCAAGCTCCAGGGCTAACTAGCCAGCGTCCCGGCTGCCTCGATCGGAGTGGGGATGCGCCGATGCCAAGCGGCTAGCAGCTCCAGTGAGGCTTAACATCGCCTTCGCTAGCTCCGGGGCTAACCAGCTAACCAGCGTCCAGGCTGCCTCGACCGGAGTGGGGACCGCGCCGACGCCAAGCGGCTAGCAGCTCCAGGGAGGCCAAACATCGCCTTCGCAAGCGCCAGGGCTAACCAGCGTCCCGGCTGCCTCGACCGGAGTGGGGACGCGCCGACGCCAAGCGGCTAGCAGCTCCAGGGAGGCTAAACATCGCCATCGCAAGCTCCGGGGCTAACCAGCTAACCAGCGTCCAGGCTGCCTCGACCGGCCTCGACCGGAGTGGGGACGCGCCGATGCCAAGTGGCTAGCAGCTCCAGGTGAGGCTAAACATCGCCTTCGCAAGCGCCAGGGCATACCAGCGTCCCGGCTGCCTCGACCGGAGTGGGGACGCGCTGACGTCAAGCGGCTAGCAGCTCCAGGGAGGCTAAACATCGCCTTCGCAAGCTCCGGGGCTAACCAGCTAACCAGCGTCCAGGCTGCCTCGACCGGAGTGGGGACGCGCCGATGCCAAGCGGCTAGCCGCTCCAGGGGAGGCTAAACATCGCCTTTGCAAGCGCCAGGGCTAACCAGCGTCCCGGCTGCCTCAACCGGAGTGGGGACGCGCCGACGCCAAGCGGCTAGCAGCTCCAGGAAGGCTAAAAATACATCGCATCAACCATGGATCTCTTCACCTTTCTCCTGACAGGGCTGCTATTCCACCTGGCCTGGTGTCTTGGTGGTTTACATACTATGGACTCCCATCCGCGGATTCAGTACAATAGGGAGCTACTTCTCCAATGGAGTACAGTCCATGTCCCCCCATCGGATCTTCGGGTGCCAAATTGGGATGAGGTGCAGTTAATAGGACGCAGTGAGCTGCCCGGGGGACCATCACACCGTAAACCAAGGATTACAAAACGGGGGAGCAGAGGGGGCGTACGCCTTAGGATGAAAAAACAGCCCCTCTCTCGCATTCCTTTGCCCTCCATCATCCTCTCAAATGCTCAGTCCCTCCGCAATAAAACCGACGAGTTGCAGGCCCAGGTCCGATATAATCACGAATTCAGAGATGCCTGCATGTTAGCCTTAACCGAGACCTGGCTGACTG